TATATATACATATATACACACACACACACACACACATACTTCTGCTGACACGGCTCATGGAAAGTTTGCATTGTTTTGTCTTTGTTGGTGATGACAGCAGTGCCTTTAAGTTGAAAGCATTGATGATTGATTGAGACTGTTTAATGACGGCAAACACTGTTTCCCTCTATCTTCTGTCTATTTCCTTTACCTTTGTTTTTCTCAGATGCGCAATCAGAAGAGTTGATTATCAAAGTGAGCTTGTCTGTATGTTTACTAGCAATGCAATAATATGCAGGAAGGCACTGCACAACTAAAAGATTAATACTCAGCAGGGTAGCTTACTTTTCAAAAATAAAGAATAACCAATGCTTGCTTTATCCCATATTGTTCATGTATATGATATTTTAATGAAAGAACGATATTTTTCGGGCTGTAATACATCTTACTTTTCCATTGCATTATTTAAAATGGTCAATTATGATAAGATTATTTGGTGGCCTCCCTTTTTAAGGAAAAGGCATCTGCTGGTGATAAAGCCTTGGTTGATTCAAATAAGGTTAATAAGGCCGCTGTTGTGAAAGCTGTTATTGAACCAACTAAGAAAAGCACAGGGGAAAAGAAGAAGCCTACAGAAAAGGAATCCTCTGATAAGGATACAGAATTCTCTATTGCTATTCTTAATCTACAGGTTGGTCTTATACGCAAGGCATGGAAGCATCCGTCTGCTGACAGGTATATTGGCTTTCACCTTTTTGTTTATTCCCATATTATCAAGCAAGTAATAATTGTTGAGTTATCACAGTTTGCTAGTTGAAGAGATAGATTTGGGAGATGGTAACCAACGCCAAGTAGTTAGCGGCCTTGCCAAGTATTATAGTCCAGATGACCTAATTGTAAGTGGAAGTCTACGATTACTATCGCTCCTTTTTTGGTAAACTTTATGCCTTTATTCCTTAAAAGCCGAGATTTCAAAAGACAAGTTTGATCTGATTGTTTGTACAGAACCGCCTTGTGGTTTTAATTTCTAATGTGAAGCCGGGAAAGCTGCGAGATGTTATGTCCTCTGGATTGGTATGTTGCTATTTTCTTTGGTTGCAATATATTTTGTGGACTTCCTTTTTCTTCATACTGCTATGTTTTCATTGGAATGAACAAATATGTTAAGTACTTCGTATATCTAAATATTTCCTAGGTATTTTAAAAGAATTTCAGCACTGTGTTTATTTCCACTTTTGCAGCATTTAGAAGAGTACTACTCTTTCATATCTCTTAAGCACTTATTTTTTGCAAAATGTTAATATGGAACATACCCCATTAGCCTCATCCCAATTATTTTGGGTGGACCTCGTGAACCTTCCTTTTTTATTATTTTGAGTCCTATATAACATGTTAACTTTATTTTGCAGAAATCCAATCAATTAGTTTAAGTATAGTCTTTTTTTTTAAACTTTTTTACATTAGTTTTATATATTCACTCGTGCTTCTTCCATTTTAGTCACCTAAGTATATTTTTAACTATCTTAGATATGTTTAACTCTCACAATGCCTTTAATATATTCATTTTACACTCTAGTTTTCCTTGTTTTTCCATATATTTACTTGAACACGTTTATTTTTGTTGTACTCTTTGTGAGATCTCAGTTGCCCAAGATTTTGATCCATATGCCTGGCCTATCTAATTATAGTTTTATAAATGTTAGCTTTTAAGTCTTTATGATGTTTACTCATCACGTAGTACTCATATTGCATCACTCTATTTTAACCCCCAAGTTTAATTTTTAAGGTTATTTATCCAAGCTGGTTGAACCTATCACTCAAGTTTCTCGACAATATTATTCGATAAATATTAGTTTTAAGTCAATTAAGTACACTTTGTTCTACTAATGCGAAGCACCTTATCTTGTAAAAAAAATTTCTTCTTTGGTTTAGCTTTTTTATTTTAGTTGAAGTCACACAAATTGGGATTATATCCTTAGACAATAATGTCACCAAGTTGCCTCAGGATAAATTTACTTTTTGTAAACATCTCCATAATCAAATTAAAAAGATGTAAATTTAAGGTTGATTATTGATGCAAACTAATTTTGAAGAAATATTTTTTGGTCTTTTCACGTCTACCTTCTATGCTAGCTATTGTTGCCTCATGCATATTTTTAATAACTTCAACATGTGTTAGACTTTTGTTTTCTTTAATGCCCACCAAAATTTCTTTTTTTTAATGGTTCAATCATATGCCTCTTCAAAATTAATTAACACCACATGAAGTTCCTTTAATTGATTCTTTCTTTTTCCTTATCTAATTATAGTTCCATTCATCAATTAACCTCTATGGTAGATCCTATGGCATAAAATTAATTATTATTTTTTTGGATTCAATGTGATTCTTTTAAGCGATGGTTATGCTTTCTTCTCCTCTAATTCTTTGTGCTTTCTAAATTTGAATTATTGCTATTCCCAACGAATAAGATTCTTTGTAAATACACATTCATATGCTCATGAAGCTATTTAGGATGTTCATGAATTTTAGGGTTTTTGGTCAAAGTTTATTGGAAAAATTAAAATTGTGATGCTCTACAACTTTTAAAATGTGAAGTAGCAAAAATCATTCTTAAATGAAGGGTAAGCTTGATTGCTTTTAATCATCATAATGTCCATTGCTCTTTTGTTCTTAAAAATTAGAATTAAATACCTCTTTCATAATCTTTTAGCGATTCTCTAAATTTTATGCTTTCATAAAAGATTTGCCATTCCATCAATAAGGCGTTTGTAAAATTAGTGACATAGTTGTGCCAAATTCGCTCTATTAAGGAACAACTTGATTTGAAATAGTAGTATTATAAATTGTTGATTAGCATAGGTATTGTTTTTTCTATTTTTGCTTTATGTCCTCATAGTTAGACATTGTTTAAGTTCTTCTATTTTGTACTTGCCATGCCTGCCTATATATTGGCAATATTCTTAACCAAGTATGGTTAACTAGTTTTTCCTACTCTTAATGTGGTTTCAAAGCAAGGTTAATCCTAGACTTAGCTCTTCTTCCCTCTCTCTCTTATTATTTATCACACAAGCATCAACTCGATTATACAATTTCCTTGTCTGTCTTGCATCAATTACCCTTTGTTCTTGTATGACCTCTTGCCTTTTGTGTTCTCATGCATGTACCCTCCTCACAAGCTTACTTATACTTGTACTTTAACCGTTTTCTAGTGCTCTTTTTTCTTGCTCGCTCATGCAGTAATTGTGGTTGCTTGTTGTGTTCACACATATGTTGCCCTTGATCTCACTCTAATGTTTGTATTTGCTGGCTCTTGAATGCTGCTTCTATTGCCCACTCTTGCATCACCTTATTTGCGCCCTCACTTGAGCTAGTCTCCTTATGGCAACTTCTATCACTTGTAGTTTGCACTCACAACCCCCCTTGTTATGCTGTATTTGCGATAACATGTCATCACCTGCATATTCTCATGTAATCCATGTATCCTCTTGTCATTTGCTCTCTACTTAGGACACAATCTTTTCAATCTTCACCTTTTTTCAATGATTTGAATTTTTCTTAGATTGTCAAAGCTTTGCTCCTCATCATATCATAACTTTTGCATCTTCTCTTAGAGTCAAAATCCTTGTTTATCAATGTTGTTACCATCAAATTCAACAGTATGGCGCATCTTCTGTGGTTGAGGGATTTTTTATTTCTTGTTAGCTTTTGAACATCTTTATACATCTTCTTTGAATTAAGATTACATTGGCAAATTTTTTGAATGAGAGGCATCTGATTTTGTTGTTCATATCTAGACATGAAATAGTCTTGAATTATCTATTCCAGTCACTGTCAACGAAGATCCTTCGCTTTCTTTTTATCACCATTTTTCAAGAAATTATTATATGCATGTGTAAATTCTAAATTTTGAAACCTTTTCTCTTCAACATGAATTTCTAAATTAGGAACTATTATATTTTGCAATGAAAGCAGGATAAATTTTGTAGTGCAGAATTCCTTCATCTTGCATAAACAGACCAAGGAATTTCTTATTGCCAAACTTTCCTCTGAACATTGTTGGGCCAAGTTCAAATATCCCTCTAGTACTTATTAGGATGCCTCTAATTCGTCTTTGAATATTATTGACGCTTCAATTCCTACCATAACTTTTGGAACATTCACTTTGTCTTATGAGGATTGTGATCATCTCATTTAATACTCATTAGTATTTGTGTTATTACTCATGTCATTTCAGGCTCTAGTTTTGTCTTAGTTTGTTCGGTATGTTTTTAATGTTTGATTCTGGTTCCTCTTCTCATATGATTGGTAAACAACTATTATTTCACTTTTTGACATGTCTTCCCTTTCCCCTCTCATTATTGCTGATACTTCTCCTTCAACCATTTTTTTAAAATGTTTTATATTTTTTTCTAAGGATTTATCAGTGCTATTAAAAGTGGGCTTTAAGAGCAAAGCAAAACAATGCACTTGCTTTGTCCATTACTTGCTTATGAAGCACAAACTTACAGCTAATTATGCATGTTTCATTGCTTTGCCGCATAGCATTGTAGTATTATGTGCTCAACCACTTAAGAAGAAAAATTATGGTTTAGATTTTATTATTTGTTTCAAAATCTCTCACAATTATCAGGCATGATAGTTTGCTTATTCTTATTGTTTTTATTTGCGGTCATTAAGTCATCAGTTAATTGTTCTCTATTCTATTCTGCTTGAGCTTGTCGCTTTGTGGTAGTTTTTTTGTTCACGATCACTTCTCCACTGGTTCTTGTATGTTTTTGACTTGTTTTTTTTTTTAACGCTAATAGCTTAAGCTTCTTCTCAATAATGCTTCTTGATGCCTTATTTTTACGCTACCTTTGTCTTCCATTTTATAGGTGGCACTCAATCTCATGATTATATATTTTTTATTTTTAAATATTTTTGTATCATTTGATTATTTATATCATTTATATATTTGATTCTTTTTCTGGATTTCAAATAACTATATATTATTGTTATTGAACATATTATTATTTTTACCAAAAAATTATTTCATGATATAGTTTAAAATTGAATGAATTAAATATATATTATGTATACATAGTATATATTTATATGATATACAACTAATGAATGCTCTTGTTACTGGGAGTACATTTTTCTTTGCATTTTGTGCATTGAAGCAAGAAAACCCTTTTGTTTCACATTGCGCTTAGTGCTTGAAAACACCTGGTCTTATCTTTACCATATGTTTGATGTGTTCCCATTATAAATTTATAATCAATTCATTGACTTGATCAAGTGCACATATCCTGTGGAGGTGTTGAAGCTTGTTGAATCTACTATTTAACCCTTGAGATTCTATCTACCTTCTCTTCCACCATTACTCTATGTTTGTGCCATTATCTTTTGGATCATCATGACATACACGCTTTACACTGTTATTACTGCATGAACAGTAAGAGCCACTACAGTCAAATTTAGCTTTATTGTATCAATGGTTGGGCTATGTAAGAGAGAAAGGCTTAAAGATTCTTCAGGGATAAAATTTCGAGTTTGAAATATGTTTAATTAATTTTTCGTGAAGAAACTAACAGGGAAACAAAGGCAGATCAATTTAACAAAAAATGGAAGAACTTAGGTCTAAAAGGGTTGAGTTGGTGCACACTAGTGCATTCAGTCTGCCCTTCATTACTTCATTAGGGAGGTGCATGCACCACATTACCTTCATCGTCGATTGTACTAAAATGCACTTGTTTATTTTATTAAAAATAAATCTGATATGCTTACCACTTTTGTAAAGTGAAAGAGCTTGTTGGAAAGTGGATTTGGAGGCAAAATTAGGTGCTTATGATATAATAATAGTGGGGAGTTCAACCGTATAGAATTTAAGAACTACAACACAACACATGGGATCTATATTAATAGAACGATATTGGGATCTTCGTAGTAGAAATTAGATGAGAGGATGAATAAAGCTCTATGAATGTGCAAAGAGTACGAGATTGCATGTGGTCTTTCATAAGACCTCAGTGTAGAGCACAACATATTGATCAATTGAGGACTATCAGTTGCACTCAATTTTGAGCTTCCT